TCCCCCCCTCCCCCCCTCCCCCCTCCCTCCCCTTCCCCGCAGAAATGTGATTGGAAAGGGTTGCCAAATCCGAAATTGACGAGAATTATTGCTTTCGGTAACTTGTCACCTATACGATGCGCCGCTAATCCATTTTGTTGATTTGTGATGAGAGAGAGAGAGGGCTGAGCTTGGTATCCTTGACCTTTTGCAGGTTCCCAGTAACAGCGTCATCAAGCCACTACTTCAACAACAAATGGTTTGTGGAGCTTCTTGTTTTACCACTGGTTTCTTGCCGTCCCAAGCCGGCCGTGCGGCGGTTTCCCTTCTTCCTCGCTAAATTTATTTCCCGTATTTTTCTTATGTCTTTGATCCCAGTTCTGGTTGGTTTCTTATGTTTTTCAGAGCGAAGGGGTTTCGAACTCACTCACTTATGTATATTGCATCGGGTGGCGTGTAGGGCAGCAGCACGATCTCTCCACATTTGCCAGTCCTTCGATGCTTCTCCAGGTCTTTCCCATCAGCTTCACTTTCTTCATGTGAGCTTGCTACCTAGCAACGTCCTTGACACCAAAATGCAGGGACTAGCACTCACAGGGTCCAAAGAATACTTGTAATCTTTTTTGTTCTTTTCCAGAGCAAGAAAAATGTGACAAACCTGAACCTGACCATTGTTGGTGAAGTGATTGAGAACTTGATGGGTGATTCTTATCACAGTCTTTACCTCAGAGATCCTCATTATCTTTTAACGCCTTCTGACTTCATGAACAAAAGCCGGAAAATCAGTCATCCAATGATATTTGGTAAGTTATTCCTCAAGGATACTCAGTTTTCCAAGGGAAACATTCTAAAAACCTGCTCTGCTGTTGAATTTTGTATTTAGCAATTTATTCATGCTTTAGCATGTATCACTTAGTATTTTGAACGCGGAAAGTTTGGAGAGCACGAAAGAAACGTAAGAGTTGCTCGAAGCGCAGTAGAGAGCAGCTATAGCTTCTTGAGTGCTCTCCAAATTTGCCAAGTGCGGCATAGCCAATGGAAACAAATGTACGACGACGACGTGTGCAGAGTTTGATAGCGCGACTTTTCTAGCTGTGTTGTAACATTCCTTGGTCAGCTAAAACACTTGCCGCCAACGGTGGTACATTAGCCTACCACCACAGCATTTTGTCGGGGTACTGCGGCATTTCGCCTTCACAGTGAGAGTATTGTTTATCTCCCAACAACACGACAAAGTGATCCTGGCAATTGCTCAAACCCAGATGGATCGGTCCAGAGTCCAGCCGTTAACCATCAGGCTACCGCATCTCCATTGCCTCGGGCATTATGGCTTATGTTTCTCATCTCTCAATTTTTTTATTCTCAGCGATTCCTATCCACAAATACGATCCATTGCCAACCCCATACCGTGACGTGTTCATCTGGGCGGTGCTTAGCAACAGACAAGATATGGCCAAGCTCATGTGGATTATGGGTAAAGAACAGATCGCGTCCGCTCTCATGGCAACGCGCTTGATCAAATCCATGGCGGGAAAAGCCCGTGCAGATGACACCATTACTGATATTAGCCCTGAGTTACTGGAACACGCAAAGTAGGTATCATCTGTTTAACAGCAAGGGTGGAGCGGGTGTGTAGGTGGGTGTGCGCCCGCGAGGGAGGGGAATGTTGGTCTGTATCATATAGAGCAACACAGGGTGAGTATGTGGGTTGGCTTGTACTCCGTTTTAACTTAGGCGGGGTCATGCTTTGAAAGCTGAAATCTGGTTCTTGTACCCTTTTCGGATTATTCCGACTGAGTACTAAAATATGACTGTTTTACAATAAAGAAGCAAAAACTTTTGTTTATATTTCGAATAATATGAGAACCCAGTTTTGGAATCCTTTCTGATCCTAACCGTTGTAACATACGCCTCACGCAATCTTTTGTCTGCGGAAGACAACGTGAAGAAGTTAAAAATTTCTGAGAATGAGCACGAGGTGGTCAAGATAACTCGCTTGATTCTCGAATTTTCCAATTCGTTTCTCTCTCAGTCAATCTATTTAAAACTAAGATTATGAGCTCGAGATTTCCATTGCACGATAGTCACGAAGGCGCAACCCAGCCCGAGTCAACTATCACGCATAGAAATCGAGAGCGAATAATCTAATTGTTTCATTGTAAATCTAGTCGTTCAAAACTTTATCTAAATCCTCTTCACAGCGTACACTTCAAAAATGCAAAGAAGCGGCCGTCATCTTGTTAACTAGGGCACACTGCTACGCTACTCACTATCTATCGCAGAATAGATAGCGAGTAGCGTAGCCAGTCAGAGAACAGCATTTGTGATGGAAAGATAGTAGTTTTATACTAAAAAGGAACAGGCAGTGAGTACCGTAGCGAATCGAAGAGCTAGAAGATTTGTACGATTTCTTGACATTTACTGAACGCATTCGTTTTCTTGTAGTGACTTTGAACAGCACGCCATCGGTGTACTGCAGGAGTGTTACGAGGAGAACGAAGCTCTTTCCCAGACTCTTTTGGTCAAAGAACTGGGTAACTTCGGTCACCTGACAGCGCTTGACTTGGCTGTCATGGCGGAAGATCAGGATTTCATTTCCCACACCAGCTGCCAAGTGCTACTCACCCGACTCTGGATGGGAACTATGGCTATGAACACCCAGTGGTGGAAGGTAAGGAAAACGACTTCCATCCTTAATGGGGTGGGGACAAGCCTGGAAGATCTATAAGAGAGAAATTTTCCATTTCAAATGGAAAATTCAAATTCTATTTTGAAAGTGTATATACAAGTCAAACCGCCGCTAAGAGAATTTTTTTTCGCCGGGTCATATTGTTGAAACCTTGCTACTACGGACAATAATTAGAAATCCGACTTTAAGAAAAGGTTTTGTGTGTAATTTTCATTTACAAAAAAGGGTCCTCGTTCGAGCCCTGGCAAAGGTTATTGCGTTGTGCTCTCGGACAAGACACTTCACTCTCACAGTGCCTCTCTCCACCCAGGTGTATAAATGGGTACCGGCGAACTTAATGCTGGGGGTAACCCTGCGATGGACTAGTATCCCATCCAGGGGGAGTAGAACTCCTAGTCGCTTCATGCTACAGAAACCGGGAGGAGCTCCGGTCTGATGGGACACTTGCAAGACAAAGACTTTTTCTTTAGTGCGTAATTTTCATTTTACTTTTGAATGCTAATTTTGATCAGATCTAGGTACAAATCGACTCTAATCACATTTACAGCCACTAGAGTCACTGAATGTGTGCCAGTTGTTTATTTGTTTGTTTGCTTGTTTCTTTTTTTTTTTTGCCTTACAGATCATCATCTGCATGTTCTGTCCTTTCCTCGTTTTCCCGTTAATCTATTTTGTTCCTGATGAGCATCACGAGCGACAAGCTGCGGCGCGGCGCACACAGAAGAGTTTGAACAGTAAAAGCATGAGAAATGTGAGACGAAGAAGCGACACGGGGGAAGGAGTTGAACTGCAAAAGGTTGAAACAGGCAACGGGAATCCCAAAATTACCACCGACGAGGAATCTACAGTAGCTGGCGATGGAGAAGATTTGGTGGATTATATTCCAGGTAAAAGAACCTTTGATCAAAACACTTATGCTCTTTACTGATCGCCGTAGGTTACTAGTAATGTTACTTGTGAGAATTTGGTGCTACGTCAAGACAGTATTCCGGAGTTAATGTGAGTGAGAAGATATTCTCTAGCAGTCTATGGTAAAAATAAAGGAATAATTTATTCTTCGATTTTCTCATTAAGATTCAACATCGGCTTCGTCCAGTCAGAGCAAAATTCTTCGCCATAATTTAGTGCTTGCTTTGGCACCGAACATAACCTGCCATGGGGCGTTCTTTTTTGGAGCATCTGATCGCAGGTTGCACCGAACCGATTAAAGCGAGGTGCTGCGATGAATTGAGTACACATATTCACCCTGCCCAGTGCAGCAGTGGTCAGAGAAATGACCAGGCCTTACTACGTATGCATGTTTCCTTGTTTACTTTCTTTTTCCTCTCAGAGCTTCAAGAGGACCACTCCATGGAAGTGATGATGCGAACAAAAGAAATGACTGTTTATGAGAGGATCACGTCATTCTACTCCGCGCCATTCACCAAGTTCATGGGCAATTTGGTAAATGCTTTATTTTTATATTAATTTTCTGAAGTGGCGGGCATCTATTTTTATGGGGAGCAGGGATGGCGCAGTGTTGACAGCGCTCGCCTCCCACCAATGTGACCCGGGTTCGATTCCAGCCAGGTGTCATGTGGGTTGAGTTTGTTGTTGGTTCTTGCCCTGCTCCGAGGGTTTTTCTCCTGGTTCTCCGGTTTTCCTCCCTCCACAAAACTAAAATCTCCAAATTCCAATTCGAGCAGGAGAGAGAACCCACATAAAAACCAGCTAAGACTGATGTGACTTTCTCTACAAATATTATAATTTCAAAATTCGAGTTCTTACATCATTGTATTTCACGATACACTTGCAGCTGTCTTACATAGCGTTCATCCTGCTCTACGCCTACGTCATCACGATGTACTTTCCGCGCTTTGACTCGTCCCAGACTTTAGGAGGACTAAGTGTTGTGGAACTCATTCTTTACTTCTGGATCTTTACAATCATCGTGGAGGAAATCAGACAGGTGAGTGAGATTAACGCGTCACAATATGACGTCACGTAATAACGTCGAGTGATGACGTCAGAGAAACATCACGTGATACAATCGCACCTTCACGAGGAGCAACTAGAATGTCACTTACTTGCGAAACTAAGAAAAAGCGAGTTACGTAGTGTAAATGTAACCCTTCGATATTATTTTCCCTGCGTTAAAAGTGTATTTTCTTGTCTTGGTTTTCAGTTAGGGGCTCAACAACCTAAGAGTTTTGCTGATAAACTCAGCATTTACTTCAGTGATACATGGAATCTCGTGGATTCCTTCTCTCTCCTGGCCTTTGTCGTGGCCGCTGTTCTACGCTTTTTCGATTCAACGTACGAAGCAGCCCGGATCATCCTGTCCCTGAATATCATCGTGTTTATCGTGCGCTCGCTTCAAATCGTCTCCGTCAACAGACAACTTGGTCCAAAACTCGTCATGATCAGAAAAATGGTAAGATTGTGTGACCTTAAAAGTCGAAAGGGGATAGTTTGCTTTTTCTGTAGCCTTATTAGGTAGACATACCAGATGAAACTATAGGATCTGCAGGAGGGCAAAGAGGAGATGCTTTTTCTTCCAATTCCTCAGCAATAGACCTCAGCAATGGTACCAGAGCGAGGTTGGAGTGGACATTTTCATACATCATTTGCGGTATTTTTGTCCACCCTGACCTCGACCCGGCGCCGTTGTTTGTTGGAATGCGGGGAAGGTCTATTGGCAGTTGCTGTTTGCTCTCTTCTTGTACCATCAGATATTTGCCGGACAAACGGCCATTTGATCACGAAAGCTAGTGTTCTTTTATAATATTCCGTACACATCCTCCCATCTCAGTATCGTATCCAAAACAAAAATTGCTATCATTTCTTAATTGACGCTGTAGAGGCTTCTAAACTTTTGTCTCCTTTGCAGCCGTTGTTGCGGCCCTTGCGTTATTTGACAAACGGTCTCATTTTATTTTATACCACAGCTTGAAGATCTCAAGCAGTTTGTAATAATCCTGCTCATATTCATAATCGCCTATGGAATCGCTCTTCAAGCTGTGTCATTCCCAGGCCCCGGACAGTTCTCCAAGAGCTTGGGCGAGGTCATCCGAGGAATACTGGACCTTCCCTACTGGCAAATGTATGGGGAGCTCTTCCTTGAGGAAATATCAGGTAGAAGCGGTTAATCTAAATCACAATACAATCTAGTTGAGTGGGATGAGAGTAAATAAAGGAATGAATCAACGAAAAAAATGAATAGTTTAGCGCTGGTGCCAGTTCTGCTGGGCATGTGGATAGCGATTTCCTCTGTGAGTTCGCTCAACAGATGACAACAGGAGACAAAGGTAAACTGTTCATTTTTTTTCATTCCTTTGCATGCTTTCATGCTACTCAACTAGATCGTATGTTCCTTGTGATCACATCAGCTTAAATACAAATTCAGGTTAGCTCCGAAAGAGGAGAAGTCGTGCGGAGAAAATACACTTGTGTTTATCTCGTACCCAGGTCTGACTCTGTGTATACTTGCGGGTTGCTGATCTTTTGATTGGCCGAGAAGTTTGAAAAACCTGAAAAACCTACAAAAAACTGTCCAAATGTTTTCAAAGGTTGACTGGTAATCTTACGGAGATTCTGTGTATGATCTTACAGAGAATTTAAAAGTGACCGCTTGTTGTTTTATTATTTTTGTCAGGTCAAAAGCCTGAGGAGTATGCTGAAGTTCACCCGACTGCCAAGTGGTTATCTCCCGCGCTCCTGGCGGGTTACATGTTGTTCACAAATGTTCTTCTCCTTAATCTTCTCATCGCCATTTTCAGGTAATTGAAATTAATTTCCGGCCATTTTCCCACCTTATTTTGTCTATGAAAGAAAGTTCGTTTCTTTTTGTCTTTTTCCGAAACCGGAAGTGATCCCGGAGCCTACCACATAGGCAACTGTTCTCCAATAACTTTTGAAAGTATTAAAATGCAAGTTTGATTTGGCTTCATCTCTGCTTAACTTCTCCATGGACGCAGCAGCCACGTGCCTCTTTTTTAAACAATCACAACAAGTTTGATGTTTTCCCGGATTCACTTTTTCCCGCGCTTGCAAGCACTGCAAGTTTTGACTGTTTTCCCGCGCTGGCCTTCGTCCACTGGTTTCTTACCTTGGAGTTGTAATATTGGTTTATAAGCTTTTTTTGCCGCGGTAGTGATTGTCTCTGTTAGTACTTTGGTTATAATTTTTTTTCTGAAAATCATACCTCAACTTGATCGTTCTGAATGTCACAAAAATCTCACAGTAATCTGTTCTGTTTGTTTTTAGTTACACTTTTGAGCGGGTACAAGAAGACTCGGATAAAGTCTGGAAGTTTCAGCGCTATGAACTGATTGCTGAGTATCACGGCAGGCCGCTGTTTTTCCCTCCGTTAATCTTCATCTCTCACGTGCTGATATTCGTCAGGTGGATATGGAGGCTGTGTCGGTGCGGAAATCCACCATCAACCAGCTCTATGAGTACGTATTAACTGACAGGTCTGATATGTGAAAGGACCTCAGTCACGGTATTTTGGCCACGTACAAAACAGCCTTTAATTTGAAGAAAACTTGAAAATAGTAGTTTACTAAGGTAGGAAAACGCCAAAAAGATATTAATAAAACATGATGGAACAAGGATGGTTAAGGATGGGGAAGATTAACACGGATTACAAACTTCAAATTTGAAAAATTTAGGCTAAATTTTTCAAGATGCGAAAACCTTGACGTAGCTCCTTTAATCGTTTGAATCCAGGGGTTTCTAATCGAACTAGATTCTGACCTAGCTGCTAGAAAATGAATAATTCTGATTAGTATAAAATCTATTGTGATTACTACTTTGATTCCGCTATGGGAATTTATGATACCTTTTGTTTAAAAGTATAAATGCGTTATAAGGTGTGTTTCGTGTTTCGGCTCCTTTAAGATTAGTTTGGAAAATCTGAAAGTTGATAATAACGTTGCCGCAAGATTTCCAAAAGTAATTAGAACTAACTTGAACTCAAGAGTCAATACAGCTCGACATGTTCAATTTGAGTACAACATGAGGCGCGGTGGCCTCGTGGTTAGTGCGCTCGTCTCCGGATCGAGCGATCTGAGTTCGAGCCCTGGCCAGGGACATTGTGTTGTGTTCTTGGGCAAGACACTTTACGTTTAGAATGCCTCTCTCCACCCAGGTGTATAAATGGGTACCGGCGAATTCAATGCTGGGGGTATCTCTGCGATGGACTAGCATCCTATCCAGGGGGAGTAGAAATATTCCTAAGCTCCGACCTGATGAGCCACTTGGCTTTTCCATGAGTTTCCACTTTTTTTTCCCAGAAATCAAACTTACAGATTACGAGAAGGAACAACTGGAGAATTGGGAATTCCAAGGAGCGGAGTATTTCATTCACATGAAACGAGCTGAGGAGAAGAACACTATGGAGCGAAGAGTCTGCACTCTTGGAGACAAGTATGTATACACATGCTCAAAGTAACAATTCTCATTACTGAGCACCGTACAGTTCTTTCATTGCTAGTTTGGTGAGTGTGGTGATAGATCAAGACGTTTCTTCTCACAGGGTAAATGACGCCACGGTGAAGCTTGACCGCATAATGGAGTGTGTCCTGGACACCAGTGGCGCTGATGAATCTGAGGGCGCTCCCACAGTGTCCCAGCCCGCCTACATCCCCAGGCCCCCCACACGTGACCTAGGAGGTCTGGAGAGGAGATTAGGACGAATGGAAGAAAATGTGGCGTCGATATTTGAAACAGTGAAGACGTTGGTTGATTTGCTTCATAATCAAAGGGTATGGAACGGAAATACATTTTATATTTGCAAAGGAATCACGTTTTAATCTGAACTGAGATTATCCAATATTATTATATGACTTGTGTTTGTAGCGGATATCACGCGCGATCTGATTGGATAATTCCAGGGCATTATTCTCCCGTAATGCCCGCGGGTCGATTACGGGCCTGCAGGAGTAAATCAAAAAGCCATATAATAAACAACCTATTAACCTCGACTGTTCGGTCTTTCCTGGAATATCTCAAACCTCGGCCTTCTCGTATTTACTTCGCTATCGTTCGGTCAATACGGCAAGGTCTCGGTTTGAGATTTTCCCGTAAAGACCTCACTCTCGGTTAATAAGTAGTTATTATTTATGTAACTATGATATTGTTTTCATAATTTCATTTCTCTTTATAGGTTGAAACTTCTTCCACGCCATCGTCAGGTAATTGGAGGCAATTCAATGATAAGTAATTTATCATCCTTCCAGATTCTCTGTGTAACGACTCTTGGCATTAGTAAGAAACTGAATAATTCTCAAATTGTTACCTTCTTTCAGGACCTGCACCATCTAACATTCTTGACCTGCGCCCTGTGGCTCCCGCCTTCGTCCATCACAAGGCACGTTCAACAACCTACCCACAATGCGCCGAGAGGAGGTTTCCGGTCCCGGATGATAAAGTGCCGTGGGAGGTGAGTGGTATTTTTTTTGCGCGCTTTTTTCAATGTGCCCGTGCTTTCTCTCGGACACCTGTTTTTCGCTTGTATCCGATTTTGTCTTTACACGCGCTTCTCAGTGGATATATGTGTTTGGCTTGGCTTTGACAAAGTTATGTAACTTTTTTTAAGGTGGAGTTTCCGGATTACAGCCCCGTGAGTTACACTGCTCCAGTGGTGCTGAAGAAACCTCCATGGGCTGATCCTGATTTGATGAGCATGTAAGTTTGTACAACTGCAGCTCTATAACATGCGCTGCGATTGGCCACAGTCGCGTTTCAATTAATCAAATTAAGGCACACAACTCGAGTGAGCTTTTAGAGTCCATCTGTGTACATGTGTTATTACACTGCATTCTGAAGATTACAGTTAACGTTGGATACCTGAAAACTGAAGAAGCTTTTTCCAGGGCCGTAGCCAGAAAAGTATTTTGACTGAGGCAATGTCCATGATACCCTGCGAGACAGAGGTTCCCTCCTATTTCTTCTCGTCTTTCACCGAGCAGAAAGAGAAGGGAATCTCTGTCTCGCAGGGTATTTCCATGGTTAAATTCTCTTCCTAGGTATTAAGGTCAACTTCAACTTCAACTTCACTTTATATTGCGCTTACATTTTGAAATTACAATATTAGCATAAAAAAAGGAAAAAAGATACATATATAACAATTAAAGGTGACAATGGTATATAGTTTGTGCATGGAGGCTAATAGAACCGCGAGGTTATCGAGTTAGCCTGCATCTCGTTTGAGTGAACATAAAAAAACATGGAAGTAGAAGGACGGATGTGTCTACGATGACTATAAACAACAACACGAAAAATAAATGGCCGAGGCGAGTGCCTCGGTTTGTCTGTTACTAGCTACGGCCCTGTTTTCTGTACAGTACGTGGTGATGTACTTCCATTACATACAGTTTTATTTTTGCCACCAGTTATAAAAATCTCGTGATCGCCGTCTGCCGTTTGTATTTGTTACGGACGTGGAAAAGTGACTAAGCAAACCACCGTTTCTCCAGATCGAAGTAAAACCACAAACACTTTCATAATCAGTGAGTTTTTTGAACACCAAAGAAAAAGCGAAGCGTGGAAATATTTGGAGCGCAATTTTTTCAAACCTCGTAACCGAGTACCCTAGTTTCCAGCTCGTATACGTGAACTCTTTTGTATTCGAGGCGTTATTTATGAGCTTCCTTACTGTTCTTTTTCAGGCACTCCTCAGGTCGCCCACCGCTTGCGTACAACAGGCTCGATGACGAATACCACGTGAACCGCGCCAGTCATATGGGACCTTACCGGGTGGTAGACGGGCTGCCACTGTAAGTGTGCTGTTGTTTGTCGAGGATCAAACTATATCTCTCAAATTATTGGTTTAAAGGGAGAGAAGACAAATTTAAATCTTGGTTTTATTCTGGAAGCATCCTATTCTATTTTTATGCCAAACTTTGATTTTGTAAATCCGTTCATCTTTATCTTCTCTACCCAGGAATCCAATGGGCCGGACGGGCGTGCAAGGCAGAGGACTTCTGGGACGGTTTGGTCCCAATCACGCTGCTGACCCAATCGTAACACGGTAATCAAAATATAGAATCAACACTAATTATTGCTACTTTGTTTCGACTTAGGACGGCTTTTAACAGCTTTTCAAAGGCCTTGGAAATAATGCACTTCACAAATAGTACTTTCACCAATTAGAGAGGGGACGTTGTCTTAGCCAATCAGTAACATTTTACATGGCGCAACTAGTGAATTGGTCGCCGGTTCAGAATTTTCCCCCGCTTGGCACTGGTTACGAGTTTGCCGCCCGTGGCACCGGTTACATGTTCTGCCGCTCTTGGCGCCGGTTACGAATTTTCCCACGCTTATGCCCTTGGTACTGGCCCGGGTTGTTCAAAAGGTGGTTAACGCTATCCACCGGATAAACTACTATCCAGGGGATAGTGTGGTTTGTTTTGTTAACACTAAACTACTGAACAGTGATTTATCCGGTGGATAGCGTTAACCAACCTTTGAGCAACTGGGGCCTGGCTTACTGTTTTTTAGCCACTACAGAAAGAAGTTTCAAATACTTGGATTTTGGGTTTTGGGTCAGTCATGAGAAAACTGCATTTCGTTTTTCAGGTGGAAAAGGACCAGTGCTGGTGTCATGCTGGATGGCGGAAAGAAAGTTCTTGAATTTGTTGCGATACAAAGAAGAGACAACAGTCAGTGGGCAATACCAGGAGTGAGTAAAGAATCGTTTTTATGACACAGCAATTTTTTTGACAGAAGCTTGAACGATATGCTTTGCGTGGTACAATACAATACAATACGATACAATACATGAATTTAGATAGCGCTCATTTCCAGAGCTCAATGGCACTTTACAATGTTAGTGGTTGGGTTAGGTAGCTGTCTCACATGTGGTATGTAACTGTGTTTTACAAGGGTATGGTTGAACCTGGACAAGTTGTGACCCAGGCTCTGAAGGCTGAGTTTGGAGAGGAGGCCATGGCGAAGCTAAACTTTACAGAGGAAGAGAGAGAACGAATCAGTAGACAGATCGACAAACTCTTCAATAACGGAGTCGAGGTAATTTCACCAATCTAAAAAATAAGATCTCGTAATTTTAAGTTGAATTCAAGTGTTCATTTCAGTTGTGTTCTAAAGGTCTGTCCACACTACGCCGGAGAAATTTGAAAATGCAACAATTACCGGTCATTTTGGATTTTTGTTTGAGGAAAACTCGGGCGGGGAAATCAAATCATTTTCGTGATGTTATGTTTTCGAAAAGCTCCGTTGTCAAAATGTTTTCCGTCCACGCTAAAAC